GTCAGGAAAAGCCTCCAGCTCGACATGGAAAAGTCTCCAGCTTGACGTTTGATCCAGGAACTTTGGAATTGCCAGCTTCTATAAGTGTCCCCTGCAGCTGTGTGAGTTGGGAAAAGCCTCCAACCTGATGTTTGATCCAAGAACTTTGGACTTGCCAGCTTCTATAACCTGGGATCTTGGATGCATCATTCATTGGAGTGAACAGCCAGATTACTGCCTGCCAACCTTGAGCTCATATTCTCCGAGAACTTATGGTAAGATGGAGGAATAGACAGACAAGTGACACAGACTCTCTTCAACAAAGCAAAGAAAAACCAATTGATGAAGATACAGAGGATGATCCAGGAGCCCTGAGCTTTGAAAGGAACTATACAGAAGTGGATTAGGCACCAACTAGTGGAAAAACCTGAATGAAAACAGTGAGTACAGAGATGGTCGGAGCTGGCGGACTGTCAGCTACTCTTACGAGATCATCAGTCTGAATATTTCCAGGTGGTGTTGGGACTTGAGAATTGACCTAAAGATCAGTCCCAGTCACCACGGGCTGCAGGGACAACTACTCTGGTGGCCTATGACTAGGAAGGGAAACAGCAAGGAGGGAGACAACCTGAGTTGTGGACTTATTTGCTTTCCTGAGGGTGCAGCCATTTTGATTGTTTACACTTAGCAGCCATTTTGGATATCTAAAGTGACTGAGGGCGCACCCATTTTGAATGTTTACAAGCAGTGGCCATTTTGGATATTTAAAGTGACTGAAAAGGGCAAAGGGGACCCGAACAGATTGAGAAGTCAGCTGCAGGGACCCAGGTGAGGAGAGGAAATCCAGGCCACACCCCACAAGCAGCAAGGGGGAAGGCAGGGAGAGGACAGAAAAGGCAAAGGGGACTGCAATAGATAGAGGAGTCAGTTGCAGGGACCCAGGTAAGGGTGGTTGAAGGGGTCCAACAGCTAAGGGAGAAAAACTTGTCTGTTGCTTTGTCCTACTGTGGTGACATGTTGCTGTGAGTCTTGAGGCTGTGCCACTGGTGTTTCAAACCCAGTGGGGTACACATGATGCACAGGTATCAGCCCAGCTGGCAGACCGAGACAGATTAGGAAGAAGGAGGAGGCCATCCACTTCTCAAAGAATTGGCCAGGGAAAACCTTATGAATAGCAGAGAAACACTCTCTGATACATTATTGCACAACTCTATGAATAGTCCGGAAATGTCCAATTAGAGAAGAAAGATGAGTCACTTCACTTTGAAAGCTCTCAAAGACTGGGCAAGAGCTGCATTATCAAAGTAAAATCAGCCTTGCTCATATGGATAAGGTAAAGCTTTCGAGACCTCCATTTGCAGATAGTGGCACCACTCAAATTGAGGAGAAATAGGGGCAAACATGCATTAATAATCGGAACATGGAATGTACAAAGTATGAATCTAGGAAAATTGGAAGTTGTCAAAAATGAAATGGAACGCATAAAGATTGATATCCTTGGCATTAGTGAGCTAATGGACTGGTTTTGGCCATTTTGAATCAGACAACCATGTGATGTACTATGCTGGGAATGACAGTTTGAAGAGGAATGGCATGACATTCATCATCACAAAGGATGTTTCAAGACCTGTCCTGAAGTACAATGCTATCAGTGATAGGATAATATTCATATGCCTACAAGGAAGACCTGTTAATACGACTGTTATTCAAATTTATGCACCAACCACCAAAGCCAAAGATGAGGAAATTGAAGATTTTTTATTAACTCTTGCAGTCCGAAATTGACCGAACATGCAATCAGGATGTGTTAATTTTATCACTGGTGACTGGAATGCAAAAGTTGGAAACAGAGAAGAATCATCGGTAGTTGGAAAATTTAGCCTTAGTGACAGAAATAATGCTGGAACTTGCATGGTAGAATTCTGCAAGACCAATGACTTGTTCATTGCAAACACCATTTTTCAACACCACAAACGGCGGCTGTACATGTGGACTTCACCAGATGGAACACACAGGAATCAGACTGACTACATCTGTGGCAAGAGGCGATGGAGAAGCTTAATATCTTCAGCCAAAACCAGGCCAGGAGCTGATTGTGGGACAGACCATCAACTGCTCATATGCAAGTTGAAGTTGAAGTTGAAGTCAATTAAAATAAGTCTAAGAGAGCCAAAATATGATCTTGAATATTTCTCCTGAATTTAGAGACCATCTAAAGAATAGATTTGATGCATTGAACACCAGTGACCAAAAACTGGAAGAACTGTAAGATGACATCAAGAGCATCATCCATGAAGAAAGCAAGAGATCACTAAAAAGACAACAAAAGAAGAGAAGACCAAAATGGATGACAGAAGAGACTCTGAAACTTGCCCTTGAGCAGAGCCCTTGAGCACTGGGCAGGTTGGCTGCGAAGGAACTCTTTCAAGTGCTAAGGAGCAAGGATGTCTCCTTGAGGATTAAGGTGTGCCTGACACAGGCCATATTTCCAATCGCCTCGTATGCATGTGAGAGCTGTACAATGAATTAGGAAGACCAAAGAAGAGTTGATACTTTTGAGTTGTGGTGCTGGCGAAGAATGCTGAAGGTACCATGGACTACCAAAAGAACTAACAGATCTGTCCTGGAGGAAGTGTGGCCGAGATGCTCCTTGGAAGTGAGGATGCCCAGACTTCATCTCACCTACTTTCGTCATGTTGTCAGAAGGGACCATTCCCTGGAGAAGGATGTCATGCTTGGTAGTGTGGAGGGTCAATGAAAGAGGGGGAGGTCTTCAACGAGATGGATTGACATGGTGGCTGTGACAATGGGCTCAAGTATAGCAAGGATCATGGAGCTGGCGCGAGATTGAGCAGTTTTGTTCTGCTGTGCGTGGGGTTGCTATGAGTCGGAAATGACTCGACAGCACCTAACAATGTGATGCATTACATTGTTTGGTTTTCTTATGTTAAACCATTCTCGTATTCCTTGGATAAATCCTTTTTGGTCATGCCTATAATTCTTTTTATATGCTGTTGGATTCAGTTTGCTTGTATTTTGTTAAAGACTTTTTTTTGTATCTATATTCACAAGGGATTTTGGTCTATAGTTTTCTTGTGATGTCTTTGTCTGGTGTAAGTGTCAGGATAATGCTAGCCTTAGAGAATGAATTAGAAAGTGTTCCTTCTTCTATGTTTGGGAAGCATTTGGGAAGTGTTGGTGTTAATTCTTCTTTACACGCTTGGTAGGATTTACCAGTGAAGCCATTTTGTCCTGAACTTTTCTTTTTGGAAAGCATTTGGTTACTGATTCAATCTGTTTACTTGTTATAGGTCTGTTCAGATTTCCTATTTCTTTTTTAGTCAGTTCTGGTAATTTATGTATTTCTAGCAGTTTTTATCTCACTTGTTGCAGTAACACTCAGTTTTGATGAATTATTTAAAAAATAATTTAGTCATTCTAAATACCATGCGATTCATCTAATGTTTATAAATCTTGAAATGTCTTCTTGAGTTTACTTTTCTAACAAATTATATATAAAATTTCATAAGAAATGAAAACTTTTTCCCTCAGATACTAAGAAACTGAAATATGACTGATATAAAGTTTATTATGAAAAGGCGTAAATGTTCTTAGTTTTCCTTTTTATTAAAATAAGTAATTGCTCACTTAATGAAGCCTATATCCTTTTCTGCCTAGAGGCAGGAATGGTAAGAGTATGGATCTACAGTCAGATTGACTGTTTTTAATTTCAGCTCTGCCACCTACTTGATGTAAAATCTTGGGGTTATCATCTCTGTGTCCCAGTATAGTCATCTATAAAAAGGTGAACTGCTGTATGAAAAGTGAATTTACTCTGTAAATCTTCACCCAAATCCTAATTAAAAAATAAATAAATAAATAAAAATGTATTAAAAAAAAAAAAAAGGGAAAATATCAGCCACAAACTGGGAAAAAAAAAAAAAAAAAGGAGAATAACAATAGATATTGTTCTTCTTACTGTGAGGATTAAGTTCATTAATACACACAAACAACTTGGTTTCTAGTTCATAATAAGCACCCAATAATTGTTATTACATAGTTATTTTTTATAAATACAGAGCATCTAGACATCTCAATGTAAAAGTCAAGACAGTAATGTTGGATGGTAGATACAAGGGATACATATTGTTCTCTAGAGTTATAAAACCTCTGACTAGGGGAAGAGTGAATGCCTTGGTTAATATCCTGTCAATAGAAAAAAGATGGGTTTCTTTACTAGTATCCAAGACAGCAGACCCCTGTTGCCTGTAAAACTTCATTAGAGAGGCCCTCTATTAGCGTAGAAAATAAAGGGGGCTGTTCTTCTGATGAATCCTCTTAACGAAAGGAAGGACCTGAGAGAGGAGAATCAGTTTCTTTACTTTAACATGTGTTCTGGGCACCCTGTAGGCCAAGGGAACAAGAGAGTGAGTGAGGAGTGTTCAAAGGAATGATCACAGGTACTTCCATTCACAGAGCAGGACTAAGCTTCCACAAGGAGATGATGATGTACTGACATATTTGAGCTCTTGAGATTCTTGTTTCTTGTACCTTTGTCTCTTCTTCTCTCCCTTCCACCTAAATGCATAAATATGCTCTACAGCTGATCTCTCCTAACTGGGAAA